GACTACTGTATCGCATGTATCATCGATTGCTCTAGAATCATTAGATTACAATAACAGGATTTCGGGTATATAATAACCTATAGTATGACACAATTTTACTAAAGAACATTTTTATATTTTTATTTTGTTTCACACTTTTTTTCTCATATACTACGTTTAGAATATCAAGATTCTTTTAAATGACAATAAATGCGTAATAGTTTATTTAATAAAAATAACATGAAAAAAGTCTAAAAAATCTAAAATATTTTTTTTTAGAAACTTTACCTATTATCACGTCATATTCCCTGGTAATATTTCACATTTAGTAATACCTAACTCACAATACATCATATTCCCTGACATGTATTATAATATGGTAACGAAAAATTTTATATCATCAATTAGTGCTCGTATATATTATGTTTCTATAAATTATGAATACTGCCCAAGTTCTATACTCAAAATATATTTTTAGTACAAATTATATATATTTTTATTGTCAGTCATTTAAAAATTAAAATTAACAAAAATTGCAGAATTTGCTTCTGTTGCATAGTATATTTAAGCATATAGGGAATCAGCTTTAAGCTATATTGATTTGAACTCAATGATGTACAATTGCTCTGTTATACATCCGATACGGTTTAATATAGTGTTGTTTATTATGTTCTGAAGTAATCTAAATACAATAAAACGATAATGAACGAAGGATAGACGGCCAAAACATTATTAAAAAACGTTATATATATAGGTACGGTTTTTTTAATAGTTGTAAATTGTGCGGCACAACAGCCGATGGCGGAGTGGTACATGTTGAAAACCTGACCTTATAGTTACAAATGGGGATGAACGTCGTGTGCGTCAATCCAGACACAAAATGTGTGACGGTAACTTAAAACGAACGTGTATAAATCCTAACGTAAACGGATTTAGTTGGATAGTCCAGCGAATACCATCAAAACGGTCATCCATCTGGTCACTCAAATGCGATGTGATTTTGGAATGAACACGCACGCAGAACAATGTTGGAAGTAAAACGATGTCTAACTGCAATTGTCCGATGATCACCAATTCACAACAGGCGTTCATTTGGCCACTAAAGTGTGAAGTGATCTCGAAATGGACGCGTTTATAGTGGCGGACAAACGGACACTGTACGATGTACAAGCTAGGTATATACATATACGTCAATACATGACGCATGTATGCAATGGTACATACGCACCACACCAAAACATTCGCCGGACAAATCTCTTATCGTTCGAGTCCATTACAGTGAGCAACGTCTAGGACTGTTCAGTCCGTTCCTACATTTCCACGAACTTTTCGGGTTACCATGTCCTGGAAATTAACCGTTTCATGGTCGGACGATTTTGTCGAACCGTTTTTTGACTCTGCATCAACAAACTGCGCTATTAGGTGTCCAATTTAACTGCAGTTCGTCGGCTTCGACCGGCCGTTTCGGTGACTAAAACAACAGGACGGATGACAGCATCTCGATTTCAATCACTTCTGCTGTGCCAGGTGCTATCTCTGCCACGTTAAATGATTCAGCGGATGTTGAAACATTCATGTTTCGTGGATGCGACTGACGCAACCCTATATCAAGTACCTAGTCCGAGGAATTTATCTAGATTCATATATATTATAGACATCGATTTACTGATTTACATAGTTTGTGCGCCTGCAAACAGTGCAAACTCTTGAGATCATTACTTTCCAATACTTTTCTAATGTAAGAACATTCATTATTAGCTGCACGGACATACGGGCTTGACCATCGTATCGATGTTATCGGCTGCGATTGATCAGTCAAATTTAATTTTTGTTCTAAAAATTATGTTTATGAAATTAATGTATGATTATTGACTGCTGAATGCTGATTAGTTATTAGTGTGCCACCTGTTATATAGGTATAACGATGTACAAATTTAAAAAAAAATCCTAGCATTTTTTTTTTCTTATAACGTTATCACTAAGAGTACTATTTTATAATATTTTAAAAAGGTCTGTGGGGGATGGTGTCCTTGTATACACTCCTCATGATCAAATAATGTTTTGTTTAATAGAATTTTTTTTTTTTTTTTTTTATTATACAATCTGTAAATATATTTTTACAATGAGTATAAGTGTTGATAAGAAATAGAATAAAAATAAAATAAAAGGGACTGATGACTTGAGTGAAGAATCCATCCAGCGATGGAACTTCTTGAATAGAAAAATTGAACAATTAATGTTGTTTTAAGTTACATTGAATCAGGGGCAGAGTGGCCGGTCTGGAAATGGGGATTTTCCAGATGGCCTGGTGCCCCGATCATTTTATATTAGATTTTATTTACAAAATTAGTAAATGCGTCAACAATGTTTTTGTATTAAAACTTTGAAATTACGAAATTAATAATTATTGTATTTGGTATATTATTAATACAATTGTGATTTGTGTTACATTTTGATAGCCTAGTATGAGTATAAGAAAGCATAGGCCATCGGGTATAAAATTACAAAATATCGATTGGTTATTTTTATAATAAACACCCGAGTACCGACGCCTGTTGAAACCTGAAAGTTGTTTATCTTCAGAGTGGCGACGAACATAGACATACACCAATATATTATAATGGCTATAATTGAATAATGCCCAATGTTGTGTAGTTGTGTTATTGCCGTTATTGGTCGGTGGAAATAGGAAACAATTTTTTGTACCATAAATATATTTGATTGTATTTACTGCTTAGCTAAAATATTCTAGTTATGACTTATGGTAGGGCCGTTGGGATCATTTTTAATTAAGAAAAATAGATAAAATAATATAATAATTTGAATAACGTTTATTATTATTTTATTTGGTGGTTAACAAAATTAAGAAACAATATTTAGTACAGTTTATTGTAGTATGCTATAATATAGTACCTCAGATATTATTTAGGATCTTGATTCTTGGGATATTAAATATGCACTTAATATTTTGGTTGTATAATTAAATAGATAAAAACGTCTATGAAAAAATATTGATAAAATGATAAATTATTTAAAATATGCATTTGTAAGCGAAATAAAATTTTTCAATACTAGCTTTGTGAAAGCATGAAATGTATTTGTTTCGTACTTGTGAAAGGTCATTTTCAACCCTGTAGTATTTGAATAATAGGTTAAGAAATTCAATGACAAATGTAAACCTTGAGTCTTTTATGCTAATGGCCATTGAGAATTAAATTCTGATGGAAATAGATAATAATATTATAATAAATGCAGTTGGTGAAAAATCTAAGCTATTATCAAAATTATTATTATAAATGTATATCTTTCTTATTATATAATTATTAATAATTTGTTATAGTTATTGTTTATAAATCATAATTAATATAATACTTCTTTATTATAAATATATTTGTTACCTACTTATTAACTAAACCTGAACCACTAAAACACAATATATAATTATTAACATTGCTATTAAACTATACTGATTAAATATTTTCTGGTATTAGTGGTATATAAATACAACACATTAGAAGTTAAACGAAATAGCAATTGTGATTGAAATACTTTTATAATATTGAGAGTATAAATAATACATATTAATATAAATAAAATGAAATGTATTTATTTAATTGTATTGAAATAGGTAAAAAGAAATATATAATTTGATCGTAGCGAGAAAAATTTTTTTGGTAATTTAATTGGTAAATGGTGGGTGGCCTGGAAGAATTTCAATCTCCCGGCCTGAATTTTGTTCCCACTCCGCCCCTGCATTGAATACCTTGTTACCAATAATGTTTAATAAATGTGATTGGTGATTCATACAACGAGAAAAAAGTAAGTTATACGAAGGTTTTATCTTAACAAAAGTTTCCAAGCTCATTATTAGAAGATAGATAAACAAAACCACGATGTATAAAACATGAAATAAAAATAAAGCAACCTATAATATCCTAATGTTTTATAAAAGGTAGTAGGTATTAGGTAACTATAAATTATATACCTACACAGGCAATAATGTGCCCTGACGCAGTAGGCAAATAGTTTAAATGGAACCCACCAAACATATTATAACTTATCATAAACACAAATCCTAAAATATTTTTCAATTTAATTTGTACGAAAAGTCGGTATACCTATTTCATTTAGATATAATATACTAAATAATAATATGTATCTACGCGATATGTCACACGTGTATATATTTTTTAAGTGATTGATTTTATTATCTATAAAAAAATTATATAAAACTGTAAGAACTACTAACACATAATCATGTAATTCCCAACCATATATTGGTCCCCACACTCTGCAGCGGTAGCGGTAAAATTCTTTTGTCTTGGCGGTGGCGGTAAATTGTGACCGGCTTAATTTTGCTGTTAATGCGTCTAGCGGTAATCGCCACCGCTGCAGTGTGTGGAGACTTTAAAACAATTTGAACTACCGTAACAAACCTTATTAATGAAGCCTTATTATCATTAAWAAAAAAAATTATATAAAAATTAAAAACAATCAAAATTTATTATTCCTTCTCAACCTTAACCATCGAAATATGGCAGGTGGGTAGGCAGTTAGTAGGTAGGTAGTATGTAATAATTATTAATTATATTGGTACATGATAGGTATAGCTATAAAAGTAGCAGGTAGGTCGTAGGTATTTAGTGTTCAATGGCTCAACGCATAGTGGTCATGACACACAAAAAAGGGCAACGTTACATTATTAAACGAAGTAACATAAACTACATACTATTTTGTATAATTAAATTTGAATTCCATTCGTTGCCACCATGTAATAATATRATATTAATATTAATATTCTCAGTTTCTTACTACGTCGCACAGAGCACAGATTTAAAATTGTATATCTGTTTATATTATTGTGATAATATAGTGATAATATACTGACTTTTGTACCAAAGGTACCACGGTAACTTCACATCTATTTTACGGATACAGATTACCTAACCAATGATAACCTTATCATTATTTATGATGATTATTTTTTTGATAGTGATTTACAATCAAATGAAAAATGAATAGCATATTAGCATGCCTAGCATGGGCGCATATTGGCCTGTCGTGGTTGATCCTAAGCATTACGCAGAACGTAAATAGAAATTCGCAAAACTACTGTTAAATAAATGTTCACTAATTGAATAATTATTATTGTTTTTAAATTGTCTAATAAAATTGCTAATTTGAAGTATGCCGTTCATGAAAGGAGCTGCTCCAATACGGAGAACTATACAATATTTGGAAGCTGGTAAGATAGTATTCAAAGACCGAATTAAAATTGTTTCAATTCACTACAACACATTGGGTGAAAATCATCGTGGCACACGAGATTTTGTATTTTGGCACCTCCCTCAAATTCAATATAAAAATCCTGATGTTCAAGTGATGACTCTTAAAAATATGACACCAACGCCATTCATAAGGTACCTAACCATGATTTTATACATAGTAACAACTAAACTAAACTCATTAAGTTAGTAGTTTATATTATATGTATATGTTTATTTAGATGTTTCATGAGTGATGGTAAAGATGTGTTGATTGATGTTGATAATCGTGACAAAGATCGAATTCATGACCATGTTTTACAAGTTCTTGGAAAACCAAAAGAAACACTCGACATGGAGGCCATGGCTAAAGAAAAAAAAGATAATATTGCCAATTTTGGATATATGTGTGAAAAACATTGTATTTGTGAAATTTTTGGACAAGTTCCGTGTCCAGCAGTTGTGCCATTGCCCAAATCATGGAGGGGCAAATATAAAAATGAAGAATTGTAGTTTGTAACGCTCAGTTTTATGTAAATATTTTTTTTCAGTTTATTTTAAGGTTAATAGTCACAATAAAATGGAATTCTTCTCATAAACTGTTTAATTCATACTTTTATCATTTTCCAAATATTTGGAAAGTCTGTTTTTAAATTTATGGGTTATAACTTAGTAAAATCATAATTTTTTTATACTTCTGTTTTCTAAACAGTCAATTTAAATTATTTGAGTGTTTGCGTTGGGAATATATAGCGCATAAGTTATAAGTGTTATACAATCCTTATAATTTACTTAAATTTTATAGTAAAATTGGGACTCCGATTGGGACTGTCTTCATTAGGTACTTAAATCAATCTATACTTTTAAATAAAATGTATTAACAGTAATGAACAATATTTTGATATGATAGCTATTAATTATAGTAACTAACTAATACATTTTTTAGTATAGCCTAGTAAAAATGTTATGTCTAATTTGCTAAACTGCTGAATCAGATTAATTATAACTAACTACTTATAAATCCAGTTCAGTAATTGCACCTTACATGTACATATGCACAATATAATATAAGAACCTTATATGTTGTGTCGCATTAAAACATTTCTTGGGAATCTACTAAAATAAAGCAAAATATTACACTAGACAGTGACTTGAAATAATTTATYTAAATCCCTGAATAATTTATGATTAAAATAAGAATTTGTCATTATGCACATTTTTTTTTAAATTTAATAATATATCAGTATTGYTAGCACAAATTATACTGAAATAAAGCAAACTAAACTAAATGTAAAGAGGGTTAATTAATTAATAATAYAYGATACCAAGTTTGTTTTAGGCGTATTTCGAKGTTACTAGGAGCAAAAAGCTCTGAGATCAAGAGGTTACAGTGGTTGAGTAGATTCGAATGAAAGCGCTTGTTAACGATTTTGACAATATGTTTAACGGGTTGAATAGAGAGATCTTGGAAGAGGATATCATTTAAGATAAAGTATGTAGCTTTGGCTATTTTTGACGGAGGTGTTTGAACTGGAATGTCTGGATTTTATGGATGTCAGAGGGTTAAGATTTATTTAAATATGATTAGTGAGATAAGTGATACTCATTCTAAAATATTATATATTATATTATATTATTATATTATACGACAACAGCTTTGTTTTTTTTTTTWAATTTATGTTATGAATTTTCTTTTTTATTATTATTTGAATAATAATGAGATTCATCTTATATAATAATTGATATGATATACATTTTAGTGAAACATCGTCTAGATTAGACTGTTTAGGTCATTTCCGGTCTATTCTAAAATATTATCTGTATTTAATTAATAATTAAATTAATACAATAATAAATATCTTTTATGAGTAGATAATATAAGTTAAGTATTGTATGCAGAGTTAGCGCACTAAAAAAATCTTGCATGTGGAAATAAGGTGATATATTACAAAATAGCCACAATCTGTATGCAGTTATCATACACTGGATTTTTCAATATTAGAGGAAAGGCTTGAATTATAATTTTATTTTTATTTTTTCCGATCAAAAAATAATTTTTAGATATTTAGGAGTTTAGGTGAGCTATTTGAACATCAAATCCTCAACTTTTCTAAAAGAGACAATGCTATGGAAAAAACTTCTATTGAGGTTTTTGGAAAGAAATTCTGGTCTATTTCTTTTTAAATGTGGTTTTCAAAAAAACAAAAATAATCGATATTAGCAAAAATAAATAAATACCTAAGAATTTGTTAAAATYATAAAAACTGTTTGTTAATTTTGGATTATCTWTAATCAATCGTGTTTGTAACTTGTTAGTCTTTATACTGTGACACCTGTATTAAATGGACTAAACCTACAGTATATCAAAAATAAGAACTTATTGAGTATAAAAAAATAAAAAAATCTTTTATTAATCAGTTATATTTGGCATTCCGCACTTAATCTCAAGATATTTTGTGAACATTAAATCTAATTTAAAAATATTAAATATTGTGTTAAAGAAGTAGGTACCTGATCTAAGTACAAATTATACAATCAAAGGCAACATTGCCAACATTCAATCGAAAATTAACAAAATTACTGTGAGGTGATCTCTAATATGTTTGAGGTGACTGAGTCTTCATGTTCATAATTTTGAAGACATCATGCCATGCTACAAATTCTCAACTACTGTCAATGGACCAATGTCACAAATGAGCAAACTATGATGGAAACACAGACAGGGTTAACCATACATATTTCTTAATCCCTATATTYTCATATAGTACATGATCTTCAGAATTAAATTATGTAAAAGCTCTATCATAAATTAATAATAATAATTAATATTTTAACTAAAAATCACTAATAGAAGCRTTGTATGGTGACAAAAGTAGGCAGTAGTTAATTTTCATTCTTTATTTGTTGAAATTTTTTWAAAAAAATGGAGGTAGATAGCGTCACTAACGTTGATAGAACCATGCTATAAATGATTTAATTTATAAACATGCATTTTACAAGTTACTGTTATTACTGATTACGACCAAAGCTCAGAAACTTCAACTATATTGACTAATTGCTACCTCACAAACAAACATAAATACTCATTATGAATATTAAAACTATGATAAAATGTTGGTTTTGAAGACAAATGGTGATTAAAGTTTAAACATTATGCATCTAAAAATAAACTTAGTTAAATTATAGAAAAAAAAAATGAGAATGGGAGGTTTAGCGCCCGCAGGCAAATGTATTTAAGGAAGAAAAAGATTTTATTCAGATAGAATACACACAAGTGACTACAGTATGGTGCAAAAAAAAAATGAAAAGGGGAGGTTTAGTGCCCGCAGGGCAAATGTATTTAAGGAAACAAAAAAAAATTACAGTTAGAATACAAACAAGTGACTGAAGTATAGTGCAAAAAAAATTGAGAAGGGGAGGTTTAGCGCCCGCAGGCAAATG